CCCCCCCCTGCGAGCGGCTCCTGAAGCGAGGAGGAGAACGACGCCGAGGCCTTCCACGGGAGCGAGGGGCTGGTTTGTGAGGGTGGGTTCTATGGAATTCAGTAGTGAGTGAAGGGTCCAGGATATCCTGAGAATTAACCCACGATCTCTCCTCAGGACCATACCCCTCCCAGTCAATGAGGTATTGAAGTAACCTGCCCCGGCGTCGGGAGTCCAGGATCTCCTGTACCTGGTACGCCTCCTCGCCGTCCACGATGATGGGAGGGGGACTCTCGTTCACGGCCTCCTCCTGGTCCCTCTCTCCTCTCGGACAACCGGCGGGCTTAAGCAGGGAAACATGAAAGGTGGGTGAGATACGATAATTAGAGGGAAGAGCCAAACGGTAAGCTACAGGTGTGATCTGTCTAATGATTTTGAATGGACCCACGTACCTGGGACTCAACTTCTTGCACGGGAGCCGAAGGCGAAGGTCTCTTGTGGAGAGCCAGACCCATTGTCCTGGGGTGTAAGCGGGACCTGACCTCCTGTGACGGTCGGCCTGTTCCTTGACCCTGCGGATGGCGCGTTGGAGGTGCACATGAGCAGCATTCCATATTTCCTCACTTCGTTGGAGCCAGTCGTTGATGGCAGGGAGCTCTGAGGGTTCTCTGGACCAGGGAAACAGGGGTGGTTGGAAACCGAGTACACATTGAAAAGGCGTAAGGCCAGTGGATGGTTTGCGGAGAGAATTCTGTGCGTATTCCGCCCACAGGAGGAAGCGACTCCAGTCACTCTGATTCTGGTGGCAATAGGCACGCAGAAAGCGGATGCAATTTCTGTCATAATGTCCCATTGAACAGGAGCGAGAATGAGGTTAGAGGGAATTATGGGTTCCTTGGAAGGAGGGATCTGAGCTGCTTCGAACTGCCTGGAGAGCGCATCTGCCTTAGAATTCTTTGATCCAGGGCGATAGGTTACCTTGAAATTGAAACGTGCCTGCCTGCCTTGGATTGAGTCGTTTGGCCGATCTGAGGTACTCAAGGTTGTGATGATCAGTCAGAACAACAAAGGGACGTTTGGCCCCCTCCAACCAGTGACGCCATTCCTCCAAGGCTGCCTTCATGGCAAGAAGTTCCCGATCTCCTCGACCGTGAGTCCCTTGCGATACAGCAGTTTAAGTGGTTCGTCCTCCCATCCTGACTGTGCTGCGAGAGTGCGGAATGAGAGAGCATAATCCGCCGCCGTGCTTCGTCCCTGTCGCAGAGCGAGTAACTGTTCGCCCGGCTCCTTTCCACCCGCTGAATGCTCGAAAACCTTGCAGAAACGTCTCAGGAAACAGTCAAATGATGAGAATGACAGCCGTCTCCCTTCCCAAGCAGCAGTGGCCCAGTCCGGAATGCTAGGCTCAGGCATGGTGACGCGAAGGGCTTGTAGCGTCCTCACCATCTCCTCCGTGAGTGAGGTGAGTCATTGCAGCTGTTGTTGATGAGACGCTAACATGAAGGCCTGGGCAGAAACCTCGGTGGTTAGCTGATAGATCGCTGCTGGTTCCGTGTGTGGCGAAGTCTTCTGTAACGGAGAGTCAGAGGTGTGTGGATCCATTTGCAGCTTTTATTAGAATCAAAGGCAGAGTTAAACAGGCAGTAATCAGTCAACTTAAATCTTTATTTTTATTACTATTTTCCTGCCATAGAATAAAAAGTCAGTATTAAAAGCTTTTAAGTCTGAATTGGGAGATTTAGTCACAATTAGGGCTGCATGATAAATCGCATGCAATATTTAACGCGCATCTTGCCAGTAAAGCCGGTTCTGTGATCAGCGGTAAACTGACAAGCTGCGCAAAATCACGATCATATTTTGCGCAGCTTGTCAGTGAACAACAAAGATGCACGTTAAATATCGCATGCGATTTATTGTGCAGCCCTAGTCACAATTGTGAAAAAAGGTCAAAATTGTGAAATAAAAACACACAATTACCTTTTCACTTTTTATTCTGTAGCCAAAAAAACAACAACAACACAAAGTCACAATGGCGCGATATAAACATAATTGTGAGAAACAAAGTCTGAATTGTGAGATAAAAAGTCGCAATTATCTTCTTCTTCTTTTTTTTTATTCCGTGACAGAAACAGGGTTGTTTACCAACAGCTATAGCAAAAATATGGTGATGTTGTCATTTTATTTGGAGAAGAGAATTAAAGACCATTTTTAAAAGACCAAGTGTTTTAAACCAACAAAACCCATGATAGAGAAAACAAGTGCAATTGAACTTTTGACTCAAAATAGTTTCTTACAGTTCTTATGACAACTTCCCTGTGTGACAACTAGCCCCGCTGTCCCTGTAGTACTTCTAAAGCAATATTGAATTTCCCTCACATTTTTCTCGTGGGAACGTTTTACTTGATGTAAAAGACAGCAAACATGGGCTATTAATCCATGTATGCAATCTTGCTATCACTTACAACCAACACCTTTGGCAGTGACAGTAAATCAAAGATTGCAACACTTCACTGCTGAATAGTACACACACAGTAAGGTAGATACAACATGTCCGCTGGGGGAAACCTCAGCATTCGGCCAGCTTGTTATTGCTGATGAGCAGAGTCTGAGCCTGCTGTGTTTTGATTAAAGAAGTTCAATTGTCAACAGCCAAATGGGCAAGGTAATTATGGATGTTAGCTGATTTTCTCGCTCTGGCTCTTGACAGAAGTGTTTCTCCCAGAGCACCAGGCCTGATTGTGACACAGATAATAGGTATATCATGTGCTGGGAGCTCAGACTAGAATCTTACCGCATGTATAAAATAGATGGATGTACTGAGTACTGCAGCGCTCAGATGTGCAGCCTTGGAGACTAGCGGTGCTTATTGAAATACCTGCTGTATTTTACTCATGTAATTGGATTCCTTTCTACCTCAGAGCCAAATGTCATATCTTGGTGAAAATTTAATGATCAGAGTAAATACATAGAATAGAGAACCTATACATTAACATGCAATGGCAATATCCTATAGGCCTACTTAATGTACATCTTGCCATGATTAGATTGAACCAGCTTTTGTTATTTGCAATAAAACCACAAAACTATTTAACAAAACATAATATTCGAATTATTTAAATCCACTTATACTATCCAAAGATGAAATTGGCTCTCTAAAGTCCATATGAAATTGTCTAGCTTTGATTACACTATTAGGAAACATGAACTGAAGTGTTTTCCTTCCAGTGTGGATAATTTCTGATTAATTCTGAGTAGTTAGGAAAAGGATAGCACAGCTAAAGTTAAAAATGTCCTTACAATGAAACAATGCTTGACACATTTTTACATATAGAATGACACATATCTATCTATCTATCTATCTATCTATCTATCTATGGAGATTTACTGCTGATTACAGAACGGCTTTACTGACAAGATGCACGTTAAATATCGCATGCGATTTATTGTGCAGCCCTAGTCACAATTGTGAAAAAAGGTCAAAATTGTGAAATAAAAACACACAATTACCTTTTCACTTTTTATTCTGTAGCCAAAAAAACAACAACAACACAAAGTCACAATGGCGCGATATAAACATAATTGTGAGAAACAAAGTCTGAATTGTGAGATAAAAAGTCGCAATTATCTTCTTCTTCTTTTTTTTTATTCCGTGACAGAAACAGGGTTGTTTACCAACAGCTATAGCAAAAATATGGTGATGTTGTCATTTTATTTGGAGAAGAGAATTAAAGACCATTTTTAAAAGACCAAGTGTTTTAAACCAACAAAACCCATGATAGAGAAAACAAGTGCAATTGAACTTTTGACTCAAAATAGTTTCTTACAGTTCTTATGACAACTTCCCTGTGTGACAACTAGCCCCGCTGTCCCTGTAGTACTTCTAAAGCAATATTGAATTTCCCTCACATTTTTCTCGTGGGAACGTTTTACTTGATGTAAAAGACAGCAAACATGGGCTATTAATCCATGTATGCAATCTTGCTATCACTTACAACCAACACCTTTGGCAGTGACAGTAAATCAAAGATTGCAACACTTCACTGCTGAATAGTACACACACAGTAAGGTAGATACAACATGTCCGCTGGGGGAAACCTCAGCATTCGGCCAGCTTGTTATTGCTGATGAGCAGAGTCTGAGCCTGCTGTGTTTTGATTAAAGAAGTTCAATTGTCAACAGCCAAATGGGCAAGGTAATTATGGATGTTAGCTGATTTTCTCGCTCTGGCTCTTGACAGAAGTGTTTCTCCCAGAGCACCAGGCCTGATTGTGACACAGATAATAGGTATATCATGTGCTGGGAGCTCAGACTAGAATCTTACCGCATGTATAAAATAGATGGATGTACTGAGTACTGCAGCGCTCAGATGTGCAGCCTTGGAGACTAGCGGTGCTTATTGAAATACCTGCTGTATTTTACTCATGTAATTGGATTCCTTTCTACCTCAGAGCCAAATGTCATATCTTGGTGAAAATTTAATGATCAGAGTAAATACATAGAATAGAGAACCTATACATTAACATGCAATGGCAATATCCTATAGGCCTACTTAATGTACATCTTGCCATGATTAGATTGAACCAGCTTTTGTTATTTGCAATAAAACCACAAAACTATTTAACAAAACATAATATTCGAATTATTTAAATCCACTTATACTATCCAAAGATGAAATTGGCTCTCTAAAGTCCATATGAAATTGTCTAGCTTTGATTACACTATTAGGAAACATGAACTGAAGTGTTTTCCTTCCAGTGTGGATAATTTCTGATTAATTCTGAGTAGTTAGGAAAAGGATAGCACAGCTAAAGTTAAAAATGTCCTTACAATGAAACAATGCTTGACACATTTTTACATATAGAATGACACATATCTATCTATCTATCTATCTATCTATCTATCTATCTATCTATCTATCACTAGCAAAGCCTAGCAACTAGCCTAGGACATTCTAATAGGCTAACATGTTAAAACATGCTAGCAATGTGCTAAATTATGCCAGAGACATGCTAGCAACATGCAAACAATGTGTTAAATCATTCTAAAAATGGTAAATCATGTTATCAACATGTTAAACATTGCTAGCGTCAGCGCCGATGGCCTCGTGGGCAGCGTGGCGACATACAGCGCCATTGCGCTATGAGTGTCACGAGTTTGAGTCCCAGCTTGTGGACTTTTCCCGATCCCATCCCCCTCTCTCTCACCCACTTCACTTCCTGTCGACCTATACTGTCTTATCTAAATAAAGGCATAAAACGCCATAAATAAATCTTTACAAAAAAAAAACATTGCTAGCAATGAGTTAAATCATGGTATTTACTGTACATGCTAGCAATGTGTTAAATCATGTTAGCAACATGTTTAAGCATGCTAGCAATGTGTTAAATAATGCTAGTAACATGCTAAATCATGCTAGCAACATGTTAAAAATGCTAGAAACATGTTAGCAATATGTTAAAACATGTTCACAACACTTATTGATTTTCTTTGACTTCAAACTTATTTCAAACATTCACACAATACTTTGTCAACCCTGTTGAAAAAAAAACAGCATATGCTGGTTAGGTATGTTTTGAAGCATGACTGCTGGTTTGAGCTGGTTTAAGCTGGTCATGAGCTGGTTTAAGCTGTTCATATGCTGATCCTAAG